TTTTTTTTTGCTGTTGTTGTTGTTTTAAATTATTTACTGTCGTTTAAGTAGATGTCGAAAAAAAAGTGACCAGTACAGTCTTCTACTTTTTTAGAAAAAAAAAAGTAAATAAATAAAAAATATAAAAAACTCTTCTTTTTTTTGCTCAAATTAATCAACTGCAAATTCAGCTGGAAAAAAAAATAGTTTTTTTTTCTTCAAAGATATTTCAATAGATTCCAAAATAACATTTTTGGTACTATTCAAAAGCTGACAAACAGATGGACAATAAGCCCGGAGATTACGTAACAATGAAGTTCTGCCAGCCAGAAGCCACTGATTTGCAGATTTACAACGTGAAATATTGTGAAAAAAAAAGACGCTCCGTATAAAGAGAGCTCCAGTGATAAAATGAAGTTTAAACAAGGATTCAAAAAAGTTAATCGGTTTTTTGTGGTATAACAGCATTAGTGAATACAGTAATTTGAAAAAAAAAAAAAACTAGAAAAGAAAGATGTGCAATAAATGTTTAGAAAACTAACTTTACAGCCTTCACAGGTAATTACTCCATAGTGGACTCCGGAAGATTTATCACCGCATACTTTGCACGGAATTACTTCAATCTGTGCTGAAACTAACCAGATATTTAGACTTTATTAATCTGTTCTTCCCCCCTTCCCTCCCCCCACCCGACCCCAATCCCAAAAAAATTCACAACACAACAGATCTGCGTGGGTCCCTCAACACATTCTTTTTTCAAGCCTACAAAACTACCTAAAAAGTTTTTTCTTTTTGATCTGCTATTCTCTATTTTTTAATTGTTACCTTACTGCTGTTAATTTACACTACCAGTTTTTTCCATCCTATCACAACAGTCAATTTATTTTGCAAAAAAAGCAAAAAAAAAAAAAGACGAAGAAGGAAGAAGAGTAAATAAAAAAATGTTCAAAAACATGTGCACACATTAATCACTGACGGTCAATGAACCATAGAGAAGAGAATTAGAAAAAAAAAGGAAATGCAGATTTGCACACGCAAAAAAAAGTAGCATATGAATAATTTAAAAAAAACAATAATTTTAATAATAATAATAATAATAAGTATGACAATAAAGTTGCAAAAAAAGTTTTTGCTCTTTGTCACCTTCAGTTATGAATCTAAGTTTTTTTTTTGCTTTCTATCTTTATTGCCGGCAATTCAGTTGATAAACATTTTCAAAGAAAGACTTTATGAAACACAGCTTCATAGCTTTATCAAAGATAATATCTTCAAAAGCAGCAAAGAATACTCTAAGTAAGTGAAAAATTTAAATGCTAATTCTTTGCAGTGAAACTGAAAAAGTTGTTGTCTAAAATAAGAAGAACTAAGAAATGACCTCTAAACTACAATAAACTGTTCACCGGTAGCAGCAGCAGCAACACTAATTGTAAAGTACCACGGCCAAGGGAACCTCTATCGACAGCAGTTGGATTAACAGTTCATAAGCTACAAGTTTGTTAAACACACATTTACAGTTCAATTTTTAACTATTGTGGAAAAAACAGTAAAGTAGTACCAAAATAAAGTTGCTTATTCAACAAAAAAAAGAAATTTTGTCAATGAGATAAAAACGGTGAAAAAAAACGAAAACTATT